AATAATAGAGTAATTGATAACATATGACAGCATAGTCAGCACATACCTGGGCAACGATCTGGTGGTCTCTTCATCATCTGGAGGTGGTATGAGTGGTAGGGGTGGCGGAGGTATATCCACTTTGGGGTACAAACATAAAACTAATTTAATATTTATTAAAAATACATTCACTCAAAAGACCTAAATCTTTACTAATGTATATAATAAGCATTAAGTTTTAAATATAAAATTAAGCAAAACATTAAGCAATGTTAGCAAGGTTCCGGACCTAATGTGTCGAATTGGATGTCTTCTAAGGGGAAATTCATTTTCGCACACATTTGACACGTTTTCGCGAAGATTTTGTTGTTATTATTGTTTTGATTGAAAATTGTGTTCAGTTTTTGTCCGCTTCTGTCAAATACTCGCATCAAAAGGCGCGACTCAACGCTAGTCTCCCGACACTACTAATCAGTCAATTGATTGTATTATTAATATGATTACTGCAAACATATCTGTCAATCAGTTTACGCAACTGAGAAGCAAATAAAATAAAAGTTTAAAATCAGAATCTCGTTGAAAACACTTTGAAAAAATTCTTGTTTGACATACAATTTCGTAACACTTTTAACAGCGAATATCACGGATTTGCAAATAAATCTCAACAAATATTTTCAATAACTGTTAAGTTTAGAAATGAGAGTAAAAAGGGATTAGGTGATTATTTTTAACAGAGAATATTCTTTAAGAAAAAGCACTAAATTATTGAATATTTGTTTATTTATGAACGGAATCGATGCGTACAATGGGTTTCATTAATGAAAATAGTTATTCACATAAATCTGTTAAACGATTGACAGACAAACAAAAACTATTGATAGAAATACTGATAAAACAGATGTGAATGAGAGTTAAGACGTTAAGGACGCGTGAAATTAGCTGTTCATCACTGCATCTCATATCCAATACAACACATGAATATATACTGAGAATATATTCCGATAAACACTTTTGAGCCAAAAATTGCGTTCAGATTAACATTTTATTTACAACAGTCTGAAAGATGTTTAACATAACACTAATCATAAAGTAAGTCAAAGAACTATATTTCCCAACGACTCGGCGCTTAAGCCAACAAAATAACGGTTTATATGGGATGGGATGGGATGCGAGTGTGAGATTGGGCTGAGGGTTAAAAATAGACATTCATTTCTTAATTCCGGGTCCCATTTGTGTGCAGTTTTTTAAAATACATGTATTTTATTATAAAATAAATGAAATTACAATTAGACATTAGATCAGTATTCTGTGGATATAAGCTTGCATATAATTATGTTTGATTAAATTTTAAAAGTAAGCAAATTTTTTGAGTAAATACTTACACCGAACTGTTTTATTTGAAATGACAAAATACTGAAATCATAATAATTGCAATGGAAATGTATTTCAGATATGATAAGTGATTATTTGCATTATCTTCTGGTATTTGTGACAATTCATTGATCCCTTGAATTGGAAAGTGTGTCCTAATATATAAAATAACCCTCAATAGCCACCCGATCATATTACCTAATGTTTTCTTGTTATTATTAAAGATTTTTTGGGCCTTAAAATAAAATGTTTAATTTAATATAATTTTTATAAAACATATTATAACTTAGTTTAATATAGTAATAAAGTAATACTTCAAAAGCCTTTATCTGATGTTTCGTGTATTCATCTAACAATTTCTGTTGGCTTTCAGTTAAAGTGTCAATCCTTACGGTGAACTCATCTTTCTTTTCTATCAGTCGTTCCCGATATAAATGAGTGTAGTTTCGGTGACCATCCATCTCATTGATATCCTTTTGTATGGCCGACCGTTGATCTATCAGTGCTTTTCTCTCACTTTGTACGCCATTCAGCGTTTGTTTTAACTTTCATCAATATATCAATCATTATTAATATCATATCAAGCATTATATCTGTAGAGAAGACCCAATACCTGATCCGTACATTCCTGAGCGATGCGAACCTCTTTGTAGCCGATATTGGTTTCAATGAAATTAAATAAATTATGATTTAAATCATAAAATTTTCATTTCTTTAAGTTCTTCACAATATCATTATAACTATTGTTTTGAGATACTTGTCTCAATGATGCCAATCGTTTGGCGTTTCTGTCAACTCTTTTAAGACATTTTAATCAATTCATTCATTTATTAGGTTATGATTTATACCTTAATTTTGATAATTCATTAGATTTCAGATTCGTATTCTTGATGGACTTATGGATACTATTAACTGATCTCACATATGACACAAATGAATTTTTCATATTTAAAATTATTTTTTATGATATTAAATTTATATATTTAAAATATTAAAATTATATATTTATTATAAACAACAGTACAATAAATAAATAAAATGGTTAAGACTGTGTGTATATTAATGCAATAGATTGACAGCAAATATGGACATAATTGTAATCATATTGTAAGGGTAAAGTATATTTTATTCTAATTTTTACCATAGTGATAAAGTTAACAGTGATATAACTTATAACTTATAACTTAATTGAACTTTATATCAAACTTGTTTGATGAAATCACGCAAATATATGAATATATATAATAGAAATTGAAGGATACTGTACTGATTAATGTTAAATATATTAACTATCACCCAGGCTCCTTTATCACTCAAATACTGTGTGTTTCTTAAATTATAAGTCAAATCGACCCATTGGTGAATGTATTCAAATTCTGTACATTTCTTATCATTTGTTTGAATCAATACTTTTTGTAATTCAAACATTTGAAAGTAAATTTGACTTCAAAAGTTTAGTTAGAGTTCATTTTAATTTCATTTCATTTAAACATTGAAAATAACACGATGAATGACCAAGACTTTTAAATTTGCGCCAAGTATAATCAAATAACTGAAAATTGTGAACAAACCAATATTTTTTATGAGTTTTCTATAAATTGTCAATTTTCAAACTTAAATATTTTATGATCAGGGTCACTTTAAAAAATGAATATGTATACCACATTGTCGTGCATTTAATTGGCTACAATAATATGATCTTGATCGTACGTACGGTAAGTTACTAAAAATAAATGTACCTTACTACAATGTTCTAGATTTTAATCATTTATTTCAAACACAAACACTTTTTAATGAAATTCATACAAATATATTGTAAAATAATCTAAAACACAATTAATAGTAAACTATAGAGAAATGGTAGTTAAATGGAGTCATAATTATAGTGAAACCTCTCCCTATAGGCCCACTCCATGTCCTTAGAGTTGGCCCGAAGTCTTCTACCGACGGGTTCTAAATCGTTGTAACACTTGTCGAACACTTTGTCGACTATAGCCCAGGCCTCGGTCGCTGTCATATCCTTACGGACAGACATGATTGAGGCGACGGCTTTCGTCTTCACACAATTCTGGTTTGTATTCAATTGGGAAACAAAACTTAAATTACAAAACAAAACACCAATCAATGGGTGAGACATACGGCGTGAGATTTAGCTATATTCCAGGGTCTGGTGGTCCCCAGTAGTAGTGAACTCATCATTGAACAGTGGAACAGATTGGCTGCTCTTATCTGTTGTGGAAATCAATTAGTGTTTTGTGAGATAATCATAAGTGAAAGCATTGGACAGAAAGACAGACCTCAGAGCAGGCGATGTGCTCAACATTATTGAAGTCAAACTTAGCCCTACAGTAGTCGAACATATGGAGGAATTCATGCGACAGAATACCACGGATTATACCCTTATTCCAGATACGATTCTGACAGATCACCACTTGGTTCAGGTGCGGGTCATA